GCGCTGGGGTCGATGGGGCGGACTGCGCGTCAAAGGCGAGTTAATGCGGGCGTGTCTTGCGCATAGCGACAAGGGCGGAGGCGCGCGCGGCGGCGGGGAGGATTAGCGGACGAGGGGGCAGGCTGGCATGGGCGCCTAGACGCTGTCTCCGTCCGAACGTCCGGCGCTAACCATGCCGTTTCTCAAAAAGCCAAAGGCCAAAATTTGGTGGGGGTGGGGGGGGGGGAGGATGCAAATGACGAAGAAACTAAAAATTAAATACTCCGATCCATGCTGAAACTCGTAAGGCTGTGTTCATAGAGCCATAGAGGCCATGTGGAAACTCAATTCACTAATCTAGAAAAACTGTAAGGTAATCGTGCCAATCATGTGTAGGTGTGATCTTATTCTTTTTGGATATGACTAACCCGCTAACAATGCTAACAAGCATACTGATTATATTTATATGAAAAAGAAACAAAGGAGAATGTACCTTGAAGCAGGACCAGTGCCGAAGGCACCAGAGAGTTGTTGCTTGGGTCGGCCTTGACTCGTGTAGGGTACCTTTCACCTCTCTCAATTTCACAATAGATCCATATTTAAGTTGATTCAATCTCTAGTCAGTCCCTATATGGATTACACCTTTATTGCACATAGTATTTATTCTAGGCTTTAAATTTTATTTTGATTTAGTTGAACATATGATAAGCTAAGCCCAATTAAATCCAACACCATCCACATATGTCTATGTCTCGTGTTACGCGTAGAGTGGTGAGCGGTGATTTACGAGACAAGTAGAGACGATCCACATCATGCGTGCCAGTGCCTACACCCTACATCTAGCTTCCAGTGTCACAGCACGCATAAGAAACACGAAGGAAATAGATGGACAATGTTATTAGGAGGCAGCTGAGGTGCTTCCAAATACATATTGCACGTAATTCCATCCCATGCATTGGACATCAGATGTGCTGCCGGCACGGTAGCACACCCGAAAGCGACCTTTGTAACTCTGTTGCTTGCTTTCTCTAATAGAATATTGATAAAACTGTTTATATATAACCTGCGGCCCTGAATAAATCAATTATACTAGAGTTGTCATAATTTAAACTTTTTATGTTTAACTAAATTTATAAAAAAAATTATAAATACTTGGGATACCAAATAAGCATATTATAAAAATATAGTTTATGGTGTATCTAATGTTATCGCGAATCTCAGCATTTTTTCTATAAATTCAATCAGACCTCAAAAATTTTGATGTAAGATAACTTTTTAGATTGATTTATTCAAAAATAGAGGAAGCACTCTGTGATAAATTTGCTTCGTTTGGTGTATATATAACCTGCGGCCCTGAATAAATCAATTATACTAGAGTTATCATAAGTTAAACTTTTTATGTTTAACTAAATTTAAAAAAAATTATAAATATTTGGGATACCAAATGAGCATATTATGAAAATATAGTTTATGATGTATCTAATGTTATCGCAAATCTCAGCGTTTTTTCTATAAATTCAATTAAACCTCAAATTTTTTTATATAAGATAACTTTTTAGATTGATTTATTAAAAAATAGAGGAAGCACTCTGCGATAAGTTTGCTTCGTTTGGTTTAGCCGGCCGGGATAAGAGCAGCAGACTTCTTAGTTCCGAAATTATATTATAGTAGTTTTATAGTCTATCTGCAACTCCAACAAATATATATTTTGTTGAGGACCGAGCGTAGCTCGGTTGGCTCGCTGGAGAGTCTATCTGCAACTCCAACAAATATATATTTTGTTGAGGACCGAGCTACGCTCGGTTGGCTCCCTGGCCAGGTGTGCCAGCCGCCGGGCGTGTCTTGGGTACTGCAGCCTCACATGTGGATGCATTACATGTGGATGCGTCACTAGAGTGACGTGCCCGTCACGTGCGAAGTCACTGAAGCCTCTTTGTGTAGGTGTAGGTCTAGTTTGCGTATTAGGATATGTGTGAGTTTGCGTGTGTGGTAGTGTGAGTTAGTGCGTGAGTTCAGATACTACAACTTGTACTCGAAGAGTTGAGGCATAAAAAAACAAATATATATTTTGTTGTTCTATCTATCCATCGATGATTGAGCCTTAATCATACATCTCCTCGGTGGTACTTAATGAACTACGCCCGAGACCTGGTCCATCGATTGATCTAAACCTTCGCTTGCAAACGGCATGTGGGTAGGGCCGTAGGGGGGGGTACAACATTTGGCTAATCATACTGTATTGTATCATACTTCCTCCGTTCTAAGCTACTCCGTATTACAAGTTATTTTAGCTTTTCTAATTATATAGTTTTTGTTATATGTCTAAATATATATGTTTAAATACATAACAAAAGCTATTTACTTAAAAAAACTAAAACGATTTAAAATTTGGAATGAAGGGAGTATAAGAAATGTTTAGTAGTCCTAAGCCAAATCAGCCTAAGTTTGATTAAACTTATAGAAAAAATAATTATTATAACATCAAATAAGCTTCAATAGATATATTATAAAATGTATTATCATAATTTACCTCATTGATATGGTAGATGTTAATACTATATCTTATACAAACTTGGTCAAATCTAGATCTTAAGACAACTGAAAATCTAGTCTATCTTAGGCCGGAGGGAGTATAATACTATAAATAAGACTATCACGTCCCTATAATAACATTGAATAGGCATGTAAAAATAATTCATATGAAGCATTGTATCATTATCATATTATTGTTTTGTAAGCCGCTGAACACAATTAATTGTTATGTATTCCCTCTACCTAAAAATGTCATCATGGAATATTTCATATAGTATTGTTGGTGTTCAACTAATAATTAGCATGTCTGTTTAATCCACTAATACTAATTTTATTGCTAATGTTTACTCTCCCTGCTTAAAAAATGGTAATAGTATTAGACTAGAGAAAAAGTCATACAAAATAGATTTTGATAATTAATTTTCTTACAATATAAAGTCAATGGCTTAAAAATCAATATCATCTTATAGACACTTTTAGCATAAATTTATTGATACAAGTTTTAAGTTCCAAACTTTCATACAATTTGACTAATTGTTGGTCAAAATTTATAAAGTTAGTTTTTTTTTCTCTGGTCAAATACGATTACCATTTCTGAACTGGGGGAGCAGAGCTAACTCCACGGCACTAGCATGTGGGCTCATACAGGCGTTGACTTCACGTGGTTGCTACCCCGCCTTGCCTCGTATACAATTAACAAAGTATCTAGCCTTCGATCGCCTAGGTAACAGAAAACGAAACAAAAGAATTGCAAGGCACCACTCTGCTCATACCATCACTAGATGCGTGCTAGTGCTGCACCGGACGACGAGATGGAGAGAGAGATGTATCTTAATCAAGCCAATGACTCCGGCCGTCCCTCCCTCTCTCAAAACGTCACTGCCTCCCTCCAATGAAGCCGCCGTGGCGGTGCCAACGGCAGTCTTACGGGCCTGTTCGCTGGTTGGTTGCTGAACTGATAAGTCCGATTGATACTGGTTTGTTGTAAGAGGAAAGTAATGTTGACTGGCTGATAAGTTTTGACTGAAACAACAAGCGAACAGACTGTATACATTCTACGCTGGACCATCCAAGCTAATGGCAAAGAAAATGGCATTTATCTTCAAAATCAAGCCAAATAAACTTAATCACTCAACCACGGAGTATCTTATACTTCCTCCGTCAAGAAACAATAAACATATCTGACTATTGAATTTTTTTACACTTTAATCAACAGTTAGTTAAATAATGTGCAAATTTATGGCATAAAACTTAAATCAATAGATACGTGTTTAGAGTAGCTATAAGATGATATTAATTCTCTTAACAATTGACAATATATTTAGCATGACTTTACCTCTGATGGAACGTGTCATGACGAAGGAAGTATTATTTTAGCAGTTCAAGTTCTGGTAGTACATGAAATTTTGCCTTTGGCCTCGTACCCAATCACGGCCAAATTGACATGTCACACCTACTTACTTAATTTGGGCTAATATAGGCACCGCAGCCAAAAGATGGAAAGATTAGTGAGTAAGTATCAATAAAAATACTGTAAACGTCGTCCATTATAGGTACTTAATTACTTATAATAGTGTGTTGTTTCCCTTTCAATCTCTCAATCATCTAGCTTTTCGCTCCCCTTTTTTTCCACCACGACCACGATCGGCGAGCGGGTCCAAAGACAAGAGGCCAAATCCAATCGCTCACCACCGCCGGCGTCCTCGTCTACGTCTACTACCTGCCCTGCTCTCGCCCACAGAGGCCAGAGCCCGCAGCATCCACTCGCGGACTTGCAGAGAGTCTGCCGCAGCAGCTCAGCCTTAGTGGACCAGACGCCTCCGTGGCTCCGTCCGGCGATCAACACACGGGCACGCCTCCCGTTTCCTCATTCCCAGGCTGCACTACGCCGCCTCCAGACGCCGGGAGCCTCACCGCCTCCTCCGGCCAACCCGTTCCTCCCCGGCAAGCTACCTCCGATCCTCCGTTCCGGGTGAGTCTACGTGCAGCGCCTCCTCCCACGGCTGGATCCCTATCGGTGTGCCGCGATTCGTGGATCCGGCGGCGAGGTCTGCGCCGTCCACAGCAGTACAGCATCCGCTCCTCCCCTCCCCTTGCTCTGGCGGCGCACCCCTGCCTCCACTGTCCCTTTTTTTTCACATGGAGACTAGAGTTGTCCCTCCGCTAGCCGCACGGATCCTCTCCGTGCTCACCTCTTCTTCCTCTCTCTGCAGGTCTGCGAGGTAGTGCCGGCGACGAGGCCTCTCCATCCCCTCCAGCGAGCTCCCCTTCCAAAGTCGTGAGGTATGCCTGCCCCCGTTCCTTACTGTCCTGTAACTCTTCTGAAAATCAAACTCACAGTTGACGATTAGAACCATGCAAAACTACAATGATCATGTATGTACCTCCGCTCACTGAATTAGACATGATCAGTTGTTTTGCTTTTCTTAAGAAAAGGTAAAAAGAAAAGAAAAAAAAAGACTATATTCATGATTCTCAGACTCTGAACCATGTCGGTGTTGTCTCTAGTATACTTGCTTTTAGTATGTGTAGCTCATGGTTAGGCTGAGCTGTGTAGAGCATGGGTTAGAGGTAGTTTTGAGCCTATTTTTCTGTTCATATATGAATCGATATGTACCTATAAATTCCTAATTGCAATTTATCCTTGATTAAAATGTTTAGAAATTGTTCTCCACAAATCATTGTAAGATGAAAGAAAAGCACAGGGATGCTACAGTAAACAATCTGCGCTACGGAGAGAACAATAGGAAACACCTTAAGGTAAACCAGGATTCTTCCAGATTAACCAGGATTGATCAAACATTCATTAGGGCCTTTCAGCTTATGCATGAAATAAGGTAAATAAGAAAGAACCATAGTAAATTCAGCATGATTGAGCGAAATTCCTTCAAACATATATATTTAGGATCAAGTATTCCAGATTAACGCCAGGGTGTCTCCTATTGTTCTCTCAGTAGGACAGATTGTTCATTGTAGCCTCTCTGCATCCTTCTTTAACCTTGTAACAATTTGTTGAAAAAAGTTCCTAAAAATGGAATGTTTATAACTTGGTTAATTCCAGTGCATCTTATAAATAGTATGGCTTACATATCTCATCTAACCTTTCTCAGGCAGTGCTTTGGATATTAGCTTTTGCATTTTTGTGGATCAGTCCTCCAAGGGGTTATGCATGACAGCCCCTGTGGCTCTTCGAAATGAGCTAGAAGCGGTCTCCCATTCTGCAAGGGTTGACTTATTCCGAGACACTAGTTGCAACATAGACAAGGAGGTGTTGGCCAGTTTGGGAAATGGCCAAGATTCAACTGCTGCTGGAACAAATCCTGGCTTCAGAGTTGGGGAGATCAGGTTTGCTAATGGAGATATTTATTCCGGCACATTGTTGGGGAACACACCAGAGGGTTCAGGCCAGTATCGCTGGTCAGATGGTTGCACCTATGAGGGTGAGTGGAGGAGAGGGATGAGGCATGGGCAAGGAAAGACGCGATGGCCATCTGGAGCTACCTATGAGGGTGAGTATTCTGGTGGCTACGTATTCGGTGAAGGCACCTATACGGGTCCAGATAAAATCATCTACAAGGGACGGTGGAAGTTGAATTGCAAGCATGGGCTTGGACATCAGACATATCCAAATGGAGACATGTTTGAAGGTTCGTGGATTCAGGGAGAAATAGTAGGTCATGGGAAGTACACATGGGCGAATGGGGACACTTACGTTGGCAACATGAAAAGTGGCAAGATGTCAGGGAAAGGAACTCTTACATGGAAAAATGGGGACTCATATGAGGGTAACTGGATGGATGGCATGATGCATGGGTATGGAATCTATACATGGAATGAATGCGGGTATTATATTGGAACATGGACAAGGGGACTGAAGGATGGGAAAGGTAAATTCTATCCGAACGGTTGCAGAGTTCCTGTTAACGATGAGCTGTATATCAATAATCTAAGAAACCGTGGTGTATTGCCTGACATTAGAAAGCAGAATCATGGTTCACGCATACTTCACTCTTCCTCGGTTGACATGGGGAACATGAAGGTTGGTATGACTAGGCAATCTTCAGATGTTGTGTACAAAAGGAATTCAACTGAGCAGCCTCCTTTGAAGAACGTGTCTTTGGAAAGACGGTGGAGTCTTGAAGTGGCTATTGAAAAGTTTATTGGCCATGAATCGAGTGAAAGTTCTGGCCTAGAAAGCTTGGAAAACTTGAGTGATTCACGTTTGCCCATACTGGAAAGAGAATACATGCAAGGTGTTCTAATCAGTGAGGTGGTTCTTGACAGGAGTTTTTCAGACTCCTCAAAGAAGACAAAACGCCGCCAGAAGAAAATAGTGAGGGACACAAAAAAGCCTGGAGAGACAATAATTAAGGGACACAGAAGCTATGATTTAATGCTCAGCCTGCAGATTGGAATCAGGTAGCACCTCCTGAGATCATGGTTTCAGTTTGCATTCTTTTTTTACTGTTCATTGTTTGTTCAGCTATTACTGGCCTAGCTACTCCCTACTGAATGTTCTTGTTTATAGAATAATCCTCTCTTGCAACCATGTAGTAATATCATGCCATATATAATAACAGGTCCCTTGTCATCAGGCTTGTGCAACTAATGATGTGTTTTAAAAAAATTGGTTGGTATCATTTATTCTTTAGCTTCTAGAGAGCAATGATGTAAGGTCTGAGTGATGTACTAGCACCAGCAAGTAGTGGTTGCTGTTTGAAAAAAAAATGCAAAAGATTGTATATCTCATAAACACATTACAGATATGGTTTGGAACTCGCCCCATTCAAAGTTTGTAGTGCCATTTGCATGGTACATTGAGAAGTATGAATTACTGCAAGTAGTGATTACTGCCTCCAGCTTGCAACCTGCGCTTTTCGTGTTAGGAACTGCTAGCTCCTGCAACATACATGTTGTTTAATTAAATCCAGAGTATGATGTTTACAGATTGTTTTTTAATTATATTTGAAATCGGCAACGTTTTGTTGTACTTAGGTACACAGTTGGAAAGATTACACCAATTCGAAAACGTGAAGTTCATGCTTCAGATTTTGGACCAAGAGCAAGTTTCTGGATGAACTTCCCAAAAGAAGGATCTCGGCTTACTCCTTCACATTCAGCGGAAGATTTTAAATGGAAAGACTACTGTCCCATGGTTTTCAGGTCCGCATCTCTGACATTTATGCCAATATGTGCATCTAAAAAAGATGTGATGTCCTTATCCACTGCAAATCAAGTGACCTTTAGATTCTAACACAATTTTGTTCATTGTGGCCTCTTGTTGACATATTCTTTTTGTTGTTTCTCCTGATTTAAATTATAATATTCTCTCTGTTCCAGACTCATACTTTAAAACACAATATTGATCCACTTTTGTAGGAATTTGAGAGAGATGTTCAAGATTGATGCTGCAGACTATATGATCTCCATATGCGGAAATTCTGCTCTTAGGGAACTATCTTCCCCTGGAAAGAGTGGAAGTGTCTTTTTCTTGTCACAAGATGATAGATTCATGATTAAGACTCTTCGAAAATCTGAAGTGCAGGTCCATTATCTATTTAGACTACAGAGATTGTATTTCTTAGCTGTCATGATTGTTGGATAGTTTGTGCATGTATAGTATGGCCATTTGCCTAGGAAGCGAAATTGAACTTTTCATGACTCTATACTATCCTGTAGGTTCTTTTACGAATGCTTCCAAACTATTATGATCATGTCCGTACCTATGAGAACACCCTCATAACTAAGTTTTTTGGCCTCCACAGGGTGAAACCTTCTAGTGGTCAAAAGGTAATGATTGACATCAGCACCGATTTCATCTAAGGTTTCTTTAGTTTAGTTTTTTCCCTTCCTTTTTAATGTAATGATCCTTCTTAATATCTGCAAATTGCAGTTCCGGTTTGTTGTAATGGGAAACATGTTTTGCACTGAATTGAGAATTCACCGGAGGTTTGATTTGAAAGGCTCATCTTTAGGCCGCTCTACTGACAAAGTTGAAATTGACGAGAACACAACTCTGAAGGATTTGGATCTTAACTATTCCTTTTATCTTGAACCTTCCTGGCGTGAGGCTCTACTTAAGTGAGCATATTTTCTCTAGAAATCATGCTTCTTATGTGTTCTGTTATGTGATCACATTACACTTATCTCAAATACTGTTGATTATTCTTCAGGCAGATTGAAACAGACAGTGATTTTTTGAGAACACAGCGGATAATGGATTACAGCCTACTGCTTGGTGTTCATTATAGAGCTCCACAGCACTTGCGGACACGTGCATCCTATCACCGGAGCATGGCAGCAGATAGGTTGACTGTTGTTTCAGAAGAAGGTGAGGAGTAAGGACACGCCTAACACCTTCCATAAAATGTTGCTCCCTGAGTGTAAGGAAAATACTCATTGATTCATTTCAATAGTGAAGTATATCTACTCTTTGTGTCCAGCTGGAGCCTGTAGGCTGTAGTTGCCAAGCTAATGATCATTTTAAATTCATTTTTGTTCAAAAGGAGCTCGAATTATGCATCCCAACATCCAAAATTACCTGGAAATCCTTAGCATGTTGCGTAGTCCTAAACTTTCTTAATTTCCAAATCATGTTTGAGCTAGGCAGCCTTAAGTTGTCTTGTGTGATGTACAAATATGTCTGATAGTTGCTATTGATCTGCAATGCCTCTTTTTATTGCTTTAACTTGTGCATTTCCATGTTAATTTTTTTTAAGACTGGTGCGCTAATGTTTTGAAGGGCAGGCCTGGTGCAGTGGTGAGAGCTGTCTCACTGAGTCACCAGGTGGTGGGTTCGAAGCAGCCTCTCCGCAGATTTTGCGGGGGGAAGGCTTGCCTCGTTTTTTCCCTTCCCCAGACCCCACTCATGTGGGAGCCTCCGGCACTGGGTCTGCCCCTTTTTTGGTGCGCTAATAATGTTTGGTCAAAAATGGTTGGCACAGATGCTCAAGAAGATGATGCCCTTAGCTATCCAGAAGGATTAGTCTTGGTTCAAAGCAGTGGTGAGAACAGTGTTGTTGTTGGTCCTCACATAAGAGGCAGCCGTTTGCGTGCATCAGCTGCTGGATTTGGCGAAGTAGACCTTCTGCTGCCTGGTACAGCCAGGTAATTGTTTGTAGTTCAAATACTCAAGTAGCTTGTGGAAATTGTGTTGCACTGGCACAGTGCTTGTAGTTTCAAAGGGGGAGAATTACAGCTTCTTCTTTTTTTAATGCCTTTCTTATGTTTGTTAGGCTTCAGATCCAGCTAGGAGTTAACATGCCTGCAAGGGCAGAGCAAATCCCTAAGGAAGATGAAAGCAAACCATTTCGTGAGGTGTATGATGTCGTCCTCTACCTGGGCATCATTGACATATTGCAAGAGTACAACATGACAAAGAAAATCGAGCATGCTGTCAAATCCATGCAATATGATTCGGTCTCAATCTCTGCTGTGGACCCCCAGTTCTACTCAGAGCGTTTCTTGAAGTTCATCCAGACCGTCTTCCCTGAGAATTCATAGCTCATCAACCAATACTTGTTTGAAAGATGCACCACTTGCTGCTGTTTTGTTAGTGATGTTGGCCAAGCAGATGAAACCTCATCCGCACGACAGTTCATGCCTTCAAAATTGGAGCTTGCAAGCATCAGAAAAACATTACACTCTCTTCAGTGCATACCTGTTCCTTCTTGGATGAACTAGCGTGCCTGTTCCTTCCTGGATGCACGGGCAGGAAGAATGGCCAACAAGATGAGATTCGTCAGGGAAATTGTGCAGAAGCAAATAGATCTTCTCTAGGTTTTGCCCCGAGCCCCTGGGATCACCGGATCAGCCGTCTGGCTTCCTGGAGTAGGCTTGGCATATTGGACTGGAGCAGGGAGTAGATACGGCTATCTTGTGAGTTGAGTGACAACGGCGCCATGGAGCTCTGGGAATCACTATGTTTATATCTCGACAGTTGCAGAAAGCTAAAGCACCTGTTGCCTTTGGCTCGTGTTTCATCTGTTAAGGTGCTATGGAAGCTATGTTTAAGACCCTAAAAATATGCATCAATATCCGATACATTTTTGTAGGACAAACAAAGGAATATGTATTTTATTGCAAAATGAAAAGAAATGGAAGCAAGAATAAGAAGGCCAGTTCGCAAATCTGTTTGATGCAAACCGCATGGTGACGGCGGAGTTACGAACGTGGCTTGGCTTAGACTAGCATCTCTTTACTCATTCCTGTCGTAAAAGTGTCAGCTAGTCGTATAACGGAGAAGAGAATCAGGAGTAATGCTAGTGGCCTAGTCATGGTAGCAGCCCTGGTCGCAGAGGACACCTCGTCTCCGAGCCCGCGCCACCTTAACCTCAGTCCCAACCTCTCTGGGACAAGGTGCTCGTCGATGCCAACTTCGCGTCAGCCGGCGTCGGCATCCTCAGACGACACGGACATACAACTCGTAAGAAAGAGTTCGACCTCTAAAAGTCCGGTCCCTGCATTTCGCCTTCAATGTCAGTCGCCAGTTTGCCACATCTTCACTACCGGTCTTACAAGTGCAGCCAGAAAAAAGGACTATGCCTCACCTGCGGAAAAAAGTAGTGATAATTTCGCAGAGCTGGAACAGGCAGACATGTTTATCTGAGCTTTCCAATACAAATTTAGTGAAAGGAGTATGCCTCACGGCTCACCTGCGAAAAGATAAAGAAATAAAAGTTGACTGCGTACTGACTCAAATAGAAGCAGGAAAGACAGTTGTTACCCCGGAGTAGGTCGGTACTCGGTACCAGATGAACACTTCTTGGTGGAGTGTAATTTCAGATAGTTGTTACCCTAAACCCTACAAAAAGCAGTTCTTGAGTTTCTTATCGCCTTATGACCTTATCGGTAGTAATGGTGTCAGTATTCAGTAGCCTGAAATCTATAGAAGAATCGGCTTCCTGGTTGCTTTTTTTTTTTAAAAAAATCTAGTTGCTTTGAGGGATAAATTGAGAGAAACAATATATAATAGCATGGATACGACAAAGAGTAACACCATTCTACTTGTCCACCTTTTAAAGAACTATTGTACAAATTTATCCCGATTTAGTTTTTTAAAAAAAATAGAACTTTTGAAAATAAAAAGTATATGAAAGTAAACATCACTTCAGTTTCATCGTTTCCTTTTACCAGCATCAACTGTTTGAGCAAAAGGGAGAAAATAGCATAGGACTACAATGAACAACCCACATGGAGAACGACGGATGAGTAGTTTCAGGATCTGCTGTCAATTTCTTTTGAAGAAATAGATAATATACATAATGCACTGCTGTTAAGTCTGGAAAAGCATTCACCTGATCTAGCAGAGAACTCCATGAAACTGAAGAGTGCAACCACTGCTAGGCCGTCGTCACCAGGATGCAGTGAACGCGTCTGATGGAACTGCCGACGAAGTCATATCACCAGATTAGTTGTGTTGGCATCCCGGTTGAGTGCAGTAGTCACCAGAGATTCGTTGGTCGGCATCCCGGCTGGTTGTAGTAGTAGTAGATTGCCTGTGATGAATTGATTAACGGAGAGATGGGAACGTAGTAGCGGAGGCTTCGCAGTTGGCGTAGCCTTTAGGCTTCAATAGTGGCAGCGTAGAACTAATAAGCAGGCCTTGCTAGCTGTGGAGGTCGGCTCAAGATTTAAAGGCATGCTTGCTAGCTTGTGGGTGTGGGAAGCGGGGCAGGCGAAGAGAGCCCAGGAGACAATGACGATTATTCAATTCGAGCATCTGAATTTGTAACGGATAGCAACGCCTAAGCTTTCCCTATGGATGTGAGCTCTTCAGTTGCGTTCTAGTTACCTTCGAATGACGGGATGGAGAATGACGGAATGGAGATTACTGATTTAATATATGGTTTTATGGAATTGCATAGAAATCTGCTAGTTAGTGAAACAACCCGGACTTTTGTGCAACTTAAAAATCCCAACTTTTTAATTTTTTTTGCCTAAATATGTGTTGCATGTACATATTAGGTCAAACATAAGTCAAATGTTTTCCCTTCCCACCCCAAATTCAAAATCCGAGCTTCAAAACTTTTTACAACGAACTGCTTGTCATGAAGATTGATCACCTACATGACAAGATGTGTTTTCAAATAAAATATTTTCGAGGAAAAATTAAAACCTTGGTTGAATTCGAGCGCACTCGAATTCATCTTGCAACCCGCACTCATGATTTATTATTTCCTAAAACAAAAACCTAACTCTCCTCATCCTCTTCAAATTGAGTTTACACATAATTGATGCACCGCATTTAGCCTAAGCATGCATGTGTGATTTGGTTCTTGTGTTGTTTGTGCTTGGAGGTAGCCTCTCTTCCTAAATCCCTAGAGAAAATGGGAAAGCCCTTCTCCTATGTCTCCTGGCCAGCAGGCCCTATCTGGCCGAGCACCCCCTTAAGCCCAGCTCGTCCCTCCAAGACCACGGCCTAGACCACTCTCCTTCCCCTTTTTTCGGCCCATGCTGATGGAACCAGCCAGCCCAGATCAAGTACCAGCTAAGCAGCCCAGCTCCCCTTCCCCACGCTCTCCCGTGCGCGTCACGCGCCCGAAGGCGCCGCCGTCCCCTCGCGTGTAGGAGAAGGACGCCATTCGTAGGACCCTCTTGTCAGACGGATTAACTGCTCCTCCCATCTTCTTCTCCGTACCAACGCGTCGTCTCCTCTCTGCTATTCCCCCTCGTGCCTCTGTTTTCCGTTCGAGCAGAAGAGCCGCCATACTGCACTCCGTCAGAGGCCGAGGGAGCATCACGTCGCGACACGCCTTGACCGCGCGGACCGCGCCGCGACATGCTCCCTTTGGAAGTTTCCCCGCCTCGCCACCTGCCCGTGCCGTGGATGCTCACCACGCGTCCGGCAGCACGACCTCCGAGGATCACCGTCGCCCGTAGAACGCGTCACCCCGCGAACCCTAGCACGCTCGCGGTGCCTCTGGAGCACTCCAAAACCTTCTCCACTGGTTACCTACTCCGGCCCTAGATGGACGCCATGTCGCGGTGGCCATCACATCCACGGGCTCGGACGCCCAGAGCCCCGCGCCCTAGCCGCTGGCCTATATAAAAGCCGAGCACCACCCTCACCCTTGCCCTCTCCCTCTCCTAGCTGCCGCAGCCCCATCCTCTCTGTCTCCCTTCCTAGCCCAAGGCCGCCATGGCCGAGACGCCCTGAGGGCGTGACAGCGTGACCACGCCGCCACCGTGAAGCTCTACCTGCAACCCTGCACCGAGCCTTCATCACCACGGGGCCACGCGACCCTGCCTCCATCCTCTTCGAGCAGCCCACGACCCTGGCCGCGTCCTCGACCCACGACCGCGGCCTCGCCTCGCCACGACTGTGACCCCGAGCCAGCCCACCACCGCACCTCCACCCGCAAGCCGTCGGTGAGCCTCCCCAAGACCAAAGCTTCCCATTTTCCTGCCGTAGAAGCTTTGTCGTCCGTCCCAGCCTTCACCATCGTCTTGTTCGCAGCACAAGAATGCGTCGACCTCGCTGAGCCCAGCCGTTCCTCAGCACCACGCCACGAGACGTCGTTCGCGACGCCGCACTATGGACCGCCGGCGTCGTGCCGCCTCTGCTCCATGATCGACAACCTCCCAAGCCACTGGTGAGCCGCTCTGTGACCCAAGCCCCAACCTTTCTATATCTAGCCATCGACGCCCACTCATCCGACTGCCTGCAGGAGTTTCCTCGCCCCGGCGCCGGCTCTCCTTCGACCATGGTGACCGTCGCAACCATTGAAGCCGCACTGCTCAGGGCCACGTCTTCCTCTGCACCGCGGCCTTGCCTCCACCTCGCCTCAGCACCGAGCCATCGCCATCTCCATTTGCCTTCCTCAAGCCCTGGTGAGCACGCGACCCAAAAGCCTACCCTTTATCCCCGTCCCCGACGGTTTCTTGTTGGGCCAGCCTTCGGACTGCTGCTGCCCTTTTCCTTGCTAGATCGGCGACGATGAACTCACCGCAGCGACCGAAGTCGAGTGACCACATATTAGCGCTGTGGAGGTCGACCTCGCCTTCAACCAACGAGCCACTAGAGCACAACGTCGTTCAAGTCCAGAGCCACCCACGACCTCGCCCTTCTTGTCGGGACGTCATAGCATCGAGCCTCACCGGCCTCACGCGTTCTGCCTCCGACGAGCCCACCGGTGAGCCCCAAGCACCCAAGCTTCTTCCTTTACCGCCGAGTCCACCTTGTCCATGCATGTCCCGGCCTTCGTGCCGGTGTACCCTCCCTGCAGGGGTGTGATGCCGCGTCGGTGGTGAAAGGTCCTAATGGCTAGAGGGGGGTGAATAGCCTATTGAAAATTTCTACAATAACACTTGGCAAACTAGTTAGACAAAAATGAGGCAAAGCGAATATTGCGCTAGCCCACTAAAAATGCAAGCCACCTACCACAATTCTAGTTTTTATAATCTCTATCCACACAATGGCTATGTCACTACACTAAGTTAGTGAGCTCTCAAAGACTAATTAAAGAGCCTCGCTAACCACTAGACCCGACGCAAGCTAGCTC